CCCTCCTTCCGCCGACACGCGCATATGGCGAAGTGCGTACGCACCATCGCATGTAGTGCTGATGCTTTAACTTATGAGTTGCTATGAAAATTGAATTACCAAATTTAGAGTGATTTAAAATGAGCCAGTTATAGAATGTATCAATTCTACGGAAACTACCTGATGATGGTTTCGCTCATTATAATGAGCGCTCCTTCGAAATGGATTGATTACCCTTTCGATAATTGTTACTGAATAGTGAGAAGGATGACTGTTCGTGTAACTTATTTTCAGTGCTTCTTTGAGTGGAATGGTGCATAATAGCAAAAAAACAGTTGAAGATAAGTATATTTGTGTTAACTGCGGGACAGCATGCGATAAAGTCTATAAGCAGTTTGGTGGTAACGCAATTCGCTTAACAACATGTGTCTGTTTTGATTTGTTTCTTTCTGATTCGTAGTAATAATATTGTTATTTTTAATTTTATTAACGATAAAGCTATTATTACTAGCTTGAGTATATAATGAATCATCCTCATGATTCAAGCATTCATTAATTTAAATTCTTCTAGGATCAGTAGAGAGGAAAATTAATGTATATTGCTGTTATCTTGTTGGAGAAGATTCGGTGATTTATTTCAGGAGGTATGTAAGAAACCGGTCGATAAATATATAGAATATGATATTGTATTGGTCATAATCGATGTAATATTGCAGTATATCGAAGCATATAGACATTTGCTGCTGAATATGAAATTCCAGGTAGTGTGCACACTCAAGAACAACTTTTGATGAAATGTCACCGCTTATAGTTGAGTTCTGGCTGAATATAGTCTGTACGGTGATGGATTGATCTTATTAAAAAAAAGAGCACCGCCATTTTGATTTGGCTTCTTCCTTGATAATTATTTATCAGATTCTATCAGTTTACAATCGTTCCATCCAGATTAGCTTATCATCGGACGAATACAATTGATAAATTTGCGCTCAGTCAAATCTATGAAATGGAAATTAAAATTTGTTTCATTAGTGACATCTTCATCATTCACAACCTAGAAAGAAACAGAAACTTTAAGGTGTATCATAAATTGTTTACGATATTTTTGCTATGCGATGCTTACAAGAAATGGATTGAAAGACGTTCGCAATCAACATCAACTAAAATCTACGATTTGGAATGGAAATTTTATGAATGTTTATTGCAAAGTTTCGCTGAAATGTTTACATTCTTTATTGTTATTTTCTTGGCATCATCTTATCGTCTTTCAAAGCAACAACTCACCACTCAGTTTCGAAAAGTTCTTCAATCAACATGTGCTGGATATTTTGGTGATTGATTTTTCAGCGATTTATTGTTTTTGTTTGGATTACGTGAATGAGCGATTGAAACCGATATCTGTTCGAATCGTATACGAAGCATTCTACCGATGTGTTTCGGTGAATAAAAAATTATCTTTTTTGGTTCAACGATGAGCGCTCATTCAATCTCATCATTTAGTTTTTGAAAAAACTTTCGTATTACTTTTGTAAATCCAGACCTTCTGCNCACTGGAAAAATTTAATGCTCTTAAAAGTGGTATTTTTCTGTTCAATTCAGGTAATGTCTTTGTGGTATTATCGATTATTTGGCGTCTACACGCAAGCCTATCCTATCAAATAATGCTCCAGATCTTCTTATTCGTCTCTCATGTTCAAGTTCAGCGAGGTCCGTCATTTTTCAATTCGGCTCAAATATTTTTTAATTTCTACTGAAATATTCTGTATCATTGTTAAGCATCTCCCAATTTACCGGTACTATCAACAGTTATCACTCAGATACTAATCTTTTCGCAAGTTCTAATGTTTTAAAGATAAATGAATCTCTTTCTCATCGTAAGCATCTTTTCATTTCCGGTCTTCAGAATGGTGATCGTTTCTTTTTGTTGAAGTGAATAATAATGAATTGTTATTGGCTTGCATTCATCGAATATCGGATAAATTTTTGAATTTTTTAGTTGTGGCGCCTGGAAATTTGTTGCTGAAAAATGTTTTTATCGTATTACTGGCTAAGATAGCTGCATCAGTTGCTGGCAATCTTCTGAAGTCGCATTTTTTCATAACTGATTCCTGATTGTGGCTTCTGAATCAGTGATCGTGTAAATAATTGAACACAAGTTATTAGATCGGCTTCATGCGCTGTTGAACTCACCGAGAGTATCTGATCTGGTCAGAATATGTGATGTATATCTTATTTCATTTCAATTGATATGTTTGTGGTTGTTCACTTCGAATGTGTGCTTCACACTTTCAATTTTTCTTAATGTGATCCTACAATGTTGTATGAGGCTTATAATTGTATTATTTGAGAATTTTGTTTACTCGCACCAATAAAATTAAGAATATTCGGTTATAAGGGTTTCATTAAAATAAGAAACTCAATAAATAAGTTGAAAGGGCCTACAACAGATCAACTAGCGACAGTTGCGAGCCTGACATTTAGCGAGCCCCTAGTCGGTCACCCAAACATCGTTTCGGTTCGATTTTTGAGCTATGTTCACCATTTTGTGTGTGTAGTACAAAACGCGGAATATGTGATATATTTGGAGAATGTCTATCATTGTTTCAGCGTGACACGTTCCTGATATTTGTAAACAGTGAACTTAATTGAGTAATTGAAGATTATTGATGGTATTCCAATTGACGGTTGTTTTGATAGGAGCAATTGGGGCTTCGAAACAGCTCTCGCTAACAAGAAGTGCAAGCGAATGTTGTTTTTCACAAGATCATGGATAATCTTGCGTTTAAATGCGTCTGTTAAATGTGTGTCAGGTTCATTGTTTGCTGGGATGGATACGACGATAAATGTGAGGCTAGGACTCGTGGTGAGCCTGAGTGGGATGCAGGGATTAGACTTTGTTTGAGGCTGGTGAATAAGTCGACCTTTTTCATTGAACACGTTAACTACGAGATCACCACCCTATGAGATCTCGAAGTTGAAGGAAAAGATTGCCGAACGTCAACATTCATTAGATGAAATAACATTAGGCTGTCATGTCGTTCTCCACCTCAACGGATCTAACAATGAGTCTTATAATGGAGAAGGGAAGTGATTCTTTTTTCAGGTTGAACATGGATCTATTGTGCGATTTTCGGTTCGGTTGGAAATGGCGCTGCAGAGTCAATTGATAAAGGGTGATTTTAAATTGTCACGAGATGAACGTTTTTGCATCTGCTTTATTCAGTGTTAGATGAAATATATGCAAATTTACGGAATAAACAAGAACTGCTGCGTCCACTAAACACTGCTGATGGATTAAACGGTATTTACGTGATTACGGGTATGTGCCAACGTAAATGTGTATCGACCGTGCGATTGATTATTGCGTGACTGCTTATTGATTTTATTATTGTATGATCTCATGCATTACGATTTTATTATTCGATCAATTTTATTCAAAAATATGTATTGCTTCGCATCGTTGTGTTTCAAATATTTGTTTTCTGTTTCAATATTAAATATGGATTTTTTTGTTTTTATATGGAGGGGTTTCTACCAAGTGTAAAATAAATGAATTTTTCGTATCTGATGGTATTCACTCACATCGTAGAAAATCAACTGAGCTCTCAGTAATAACTCGCATTATGAAGTGCAGTATTAGTGACAGCTTTTTACATATCTTAAATATTGGAAACATTACTGGTGTATCGCATTCTGTTGCGGTTCATCAGGGGACATAACCCCAGGTTTGCCTCGAGGTTTTCAGTTCAGGCGGTTGTTTGCAGGGGCGGCCCTATTCATGACGAATAAAGAGATCGTAATATATCGAGTAATACGCGTTTTATAATACAACCACACAACGGTGAACATGCGTACGCATTGCTCAAAAGTCGAACCCAAACGAAGTTTCCTGACCGACTATGTACTTCAAAATGACGTAGTACGGATTTGATGTACACCCAAATTTTAAACAGCTGGAGCCACCATCCAACTGATAGCTGGCGTCGAAAAAAGAATGATATTGTTCTTTTTCAATGTTTGTTTCATTTTGTACGGTACAAGGTTGCTTGTTTTGAAGAAAAAACGATTTTATGCAAAGAAATGTGTCATTTTGTCAGTTGTATGAATAGAATTATGTTGTGCGGAATTGACGGTACCAAAAATGAAACTTTAACGGGTTGACAACGTTGGGTTTTTTCTTAATCCCCATATAACTCATACAAGATTTTCAAGACCGCATCGTGCACGTCAGCTTCGGTATGCCTCAACCAAGATATATTCTCTAAAGTCGCGAGAGTATTTTAACTTTTAAGTCGCGTTGGATAGCCCGTCATAATTACGCATGTCATTAGTTTGTGCTGTTCCGGTTCAAGTGCTCATTTCTTATTGATTATCTGATTGGCTGACAATGACTTGTGTGTACAGTCGAGTTTGTTATCTTGTAGAATTATGATTGTGAATAGCAATGATTCTATTTTTCAGTAATTAAACGATGGAAGACAACGCTGTGGAGGTCAATCCACTTTATTTGACCGACGATTTTTGTAAGAATTTCAGAGAAACCATAGCAGGTATGTTGTTTTCATTGAATGTTTCGTACCCAAAAACTATGAATTCTTCGTGTCTGTCTTTAGACTTATTCAGTAGAATTGTTAGTTGAAATGAACTTGACTGAAAATTGAAAGAAATGAACTTTGAAATGAAGAAGTTCGAGAAAATAGTTTTTTTTCTCATATATAAGGAGTGTAAAAAAATTCCCTCTATCATGAAACTTACATGTTATTCGTTCAAAATTCGATTTGATAATGAATAATTGAATTGTGCAAAATGTGCAAGACAACAAGATTGATTTTTTAAGGTTCCACTCCAGCATCTAAGCCCTTCCCGCATTGGTCTCTTGAAAACTTCATATCTAATGAAGAGTTTGTACGTTCATTGCGAAAAGAATTGAAGGAATTAAAGTGGAAGCGCAAAGAGAACGATCTGTATTCCATTACTCAAACAGATGATCTCGCTAATGTCACTGATAATAAATATCGGAATGTTATTAAATATCGGTAAATTCTTTTGCTTACATTCACGTTTCTATTTTCTCCTCATTTCGAATTTTGTGAATTTTAGGGATGTTCGCACGAAAATTCCAAATTTTTGTCGTTGGAGTTGTTAAATTCAACAAAATTGAGCTGGATAAAGGGTGCATTGGTCGTGTTTTTTAAAAATTATTCGAAAAAATTAATCTGGTATCAGTTTCATTAACCACCTTCAACGGAAGGAGATGATCAACGCGTCGGTCTCAGCATAATTGCATTTCAGAGAGTTTGTCAAAGATACGATGCGCAATTGGTTGATGAGAGCATCCGGTATTAGTCTAAATCAGCAGGTTGATTTAACAGGTAGTTCATACAAGTATACGGATGTGCTTTTACCGCATGATGATCAGCTGGAGAAGCGCAAATTTGCTTTCGTTTTATATTTGTGTGATGAATCGTGGAAAGAACAACACGGAGGTCAACTCAAACTTTATCGTTGTGATGGTAATTTATTGCATTCTCATATACACTTTAAGTGAGTTCAGTTTCTAATTACGCTATCATTCTACACCAAAACGAGCTGGTAGTATGATTGACTGACGGACTTGATATGAATTAAAATGTTATCAGTTGTATTTATCTTACAGTATTGTGTCGAAAATCAGATTTATAGTCTTAGCATTAAATTTCAGATTCTGACAATCCTTTGTCGGTCCATAGAGAAATTTATCCCAAGTTCAATATGATGAATATATTTGAGGTATCGAAGCGCTCGTGGCACATGGTATCTGAGGTAAGTGATTGATGGCACAGATTTTGTTTGCATTCATTTTGCCGTTGTATTGTTTTGTTAGAAGACTGTTTCGATAGAAATTAATTGTTGTGTTATGTGAAATATAATTATTTGATAGGTAGTGACGAAAGGTGTTGATCGTTTATCGATTAATGGTTGGTTTCATGCCGATGATGTACCCACAATCCTTCCACTAAACGCTGTACGTCGTGAAGTAGCACTGCCGCATATGGACATCACGGTATCCTCTAGCATCAGTGCTTGCCTCTAATGAAAAGCTCTAATTGCACTGCTCCCTAACGTTTACCAGTTGTTTACATCAGTTCAACGGAGATTGCAGATGTTTGGTAAAATTTACACAATAAGCGAGCAGTGCGATTAGAGGCTCTGGGTGCAAGCGTTTTGTCTCGTAACCGGACTCATTGCATACTGCACCGACGATTCTCCACTTAGTGAGTATTTTTTTGTGTTTTGCAGATATTCATCGATCATTCAGTTGCAGCTTGATGAGGTTACGGAATGGATCAATCCAAGTTATATCTTGCCGGCAGAACAAGAAGCACTCAGAGCAAATTTTGAAGAAGAATCTCAAATTTGTCTCACAAGATTCATTCGAGTTGGTTTATCACATCACCCAGCTTATTTATGCGTTTTTCTGTTTGATTTCGATTATCATTTTTCAGTTCTAGTTTTGAGTTTGATTGTTTGTTTGGCACAGTCACAATCCTTAGTTACCTAGAGTGGAAGATGTTCGTGTTGTTAGCTTTTGTTACTGGTGTGAAGACGACGATTTATAATATAGTTAATCCACAATAATAAATAATGACGATTGAATAGAGTAATGATACAAGCGATGAAAGGATGACGACTGCGAAGGATGCCAGTGATGGCGAGTACAATAGCTACGACTAATGATACTGACTACACACTGACACTCTGACTAACTACACTGAGATAATTACATAGTCATTGGGGTTAGCTAATTAGGAAACTATGATCACAAATGGTGGTCAGAGAATACACGATATGCAAAGCATTATAGACAGACCGTAAGGAACAGAATAGAGGTCATAGACTTATCTCATTGTCAGTATCATTCTTCAGAAGAATGTTCGCAAAACATATTCTTCGAGTAGATGTGCCTGTAAAAAGAGCACTTTTTAATAACTCTAGCTATAATTCATTTGAATTATGCATTGGTTTAGCATTCGTTGTCCGTAGTTTCTACAATATATAATTGAACTATTCTCATTGTTTAGAGAGAGAAACATGATCAGCTTATGTCAGCATTGGCCGCTTGTCAGTTCCATAAAGAAGGACCACCAAGCAAAAGGTTATTTGAATTATTGACGTACTCATTGAAGTGTTCACAAAATTCTTTGTGTTCAGGTTGATTGTCATCAGCGCTCCAAATGAATCAATCTTGTATTTGCATTTGATTTTATGATTGATTGAGTTGTTTGTAGGCAAGTCATGATAGTGCATCATGCCATAGACGAATTTAAAATTTTATGCTAGTGCGAATAATAAAGGTTCTAGAGAGGTTTGGTATTTGGATGAGACGCACGTTGAAAAAACTAGCATAGTTGGATCACTTTTGCGTCTATTCCGATCTCGCGCCATCACATTACTTGCATCACAATGGACCGGCTTGAAACTCGAGCAATTGGCTGACGAGAGTACTCCAGAAGATAAAGAACTAAGTGGAGTGAGCCAAATACCTAGTTAGTATTTGAGATTCCATTTCACTGTTTCGTTTATTCTGAATTAATTTGATCGGTTGGAAAAATCCAAAAAATTGACATAGTTCAAGCCTCTAACTTGCTATTTGATGTTGTTAAGGCGGAGAGTGATGAACAAATGATGGATTTATTATTTTATTTATTCTGAATTGATTTCACTGATAATTCAGATATTAAGAGACCCAGGTTGGACGAGAGCAATTTTGAAGTTGAGGAGCCAGTGAACAGTGAACCGTCGAGTATGTAAATTCCATTTTTGCATACCACATCAGCCTTGCATATGCTTTTGCTTGGGTGTATTGCAAATAACTACCACCATGTTTAACTTGTTGGCAATATTTGCCTCTGTGACACGCTGCTTGATTTTCTTTCAATACTTTCTGAGTGCACAAACATTATATGCGATATAATTGATTGTTTATTGAAGAAGGCAAAGTTTCGGTTAAGATAAAGAAATTCAAGCAAGGTTGTTACACTTTGGCTGATGACCAGTTAGCGCTAGAATCAAGTGGCTACATTTTGGACTTGCAGGTTTCTACTTCAGTTGAATCACTTTTATGATTGTTTGTATGAATAGATCAGTGAATGTTCACTCGTTCTATTTATATCTTCTCGTTCACTTACTTTATTTGTTTGTTTCTTCACAGCTTTTCCTCAGTGATGATCAGTGGGACGCGGAAGCTGGTGGTTTTATGTCATACATCGCGAAATATGACAGGCGTGAGGTATGTGTTGATGTTACATTCTTTTACTTTCAGCCTAGTCATCCGTATGTGCAACAGTTCATCGTTGGACGCTAACTGTTGTGCGATTTCTTCAGTGTATGAATTTTGAGCACTTTCAAGTGGCTGATAAAAACCAAAAATTCTCACCGTAAATCCGTGTACATACATGCAAAGTTAATGTGGATCGATGATCATTTTATTTCGCCAAGTGCAATGCAGTCATATCGAATATGTAATCCAGTTCGTTCACTCGTGAATTTCGATGATCAAACTTTACACAGATTCACTATTTTTGATCAGCTCTATTCCTATATATTGTAATTCTTATAGATTATAGTCAAATGCTTTCCTTGTGGGAATGACTTCTCGAAGGCAATATGATTGGTTTTATAAAAATTCCAGGAATTAAGAGTAAATGTGGAAGATAACTCCTTAGCGGTGGTCTATCGTGAACCGCATGTGTTTCCAATCATGAAGTATGTAAACGATCGTGCTGGTAAAAAGTTCTTTTATGTGCTCGATTGCACCGTTGTCGACGTACCTGGCGATGAAACTGATCTCAATACACCTAACTCCAGCTCTTCATCTGATTCGTCTGAAGAGGACAGTGACGGATGCAATGCACCAACGTCTGAGGAGGGTTAGAATGTTCATTGGGAGTATTGTCATTGAAGTGGAAGTATGATTTAGTAACAATGATACTATTTGTGCCATGGAATGTTGTTTATTGTTAGTGTGCTTGTTGACTCATAAGTGCGTTGATTCAATGAACAAAATATTGATATTGGTCATTTCATTTGATGAACAGGAGGAATGCGGTGAATTAAAATTTATTCTTTAATTAAAATATCTATGGGGCGCATCAAAATTCAGTGTTTGTAACAAGAAATATCGTAATAAGATATTTCTTGTTTTTCAATGATTCTAAATTGATAGATTTTCAATAGTCTCCATTCTAAATGTTTAGATAGGAAGTATCAGATCGGCAAGGTTTCAGACTCATTTAACGCAGAGTATACTCAAATCTGTTGATTGTTTTGTGTTATGTTTTGTTGTTGTGGATAATAACGACACGATTATTGTTTTGTTGCCGTTTGAAAGAAATTATGAATGTTTAATAAAATAAATTTAATTAAGCATATTCTACGTATTGAATAGACACTCAAGAGTATCTGTAGTGTATCCAATAAGTGGAGTGTTATTTTTGACCTGTTCAGCTTATGTTCAATAACAATTATCAAAACAAAGTCGACTTTTTCGTTTTTCTTTTTTATGGACCCTCAACATCAGATATTTAATGCTTTATCGATACAGTTGTGGTTTAGTTAAATGAACATGTTAAAGTGAAACATTCTTTGATTCATTCGGTTGTTGAGCCATTTCAAAGTACCGTTTTCATAAATGGACGCTTCAGTTTACTTTCTGACTCCATCATGAGAATGGTCCATTTTGCTAACGAACAAAATTGTTGAGGCCGAACACAGAGAACGAATTTCGCATAATTCACTAGAATTTCTTTATAGGAAACGTTTTACGTTGCTGTCAGGTAAAATGGTTGATATTATGATAAATATTTAGCAAATTGAAACGTTATTGCATTTCTGATTTGCTCCTATTATTTAATGCCTTTTGATACATACAGATGAATTGATTGCATTAGAGACTCCTTTTGAATTGATGGAACAATGCCGTTTTACAAGATAAACAACAATTGCAACGTATAAGAGTTGAATTTGTGAGAGATTTTTGTTGTTTCATCCAGTTCATGTACCTGTCAATACCGAGCCTCTGCAAATTCCGTTTCTTGATCGTCGATTAATTCGTTTACGCTGAATCAATCGCTTTGCTCACATCGTAGTAGTGCACATGCATCACGCAGCCATTCGACATTCATGTATTCTTCACCCGTTGAAATTCTGTTTTTGAGTAGATCATTCCACTTATAGATTGCACTATTTCCCTTATGATAATGATAACAATAGTAATCATCATAAAAACATTAAGAAATATCCAAACTATGTTCTAATGTTAATCAAAAAGGTATTCTGATTCGCGTTTTTTTTTTTGTTTTCTGCAATGAAGGAACTCAAATGTTTAAAGAAGAATATTTCGATGTATTAGGATTTAGTCGAGCAGCAGAAATAAACATAAAACGCTACCGAAAACTTTTCCTAGTAATCATCTTTGGCAACACAAAAACGACAGTTCATCGCGCAAGTGCTGAGCAATTTCAGTGGAAAAATTCACTATTGTTTAAGAACTCACTTTACCGTGCTAATGCTGGCACGTGATGCTCTTAGAAGAAAGCCTTTGTTGTTCATGAGCAATAGGCTAATAATTATTAACTGCTCGATTTTTTTTTTGCTGCAGTATAAATTTTTTCATATGTTCCCTTGAAAATGTTTCCGATAATAATTCAACTTTCTTTCGTTTTTATCTAATCACTTTCCTTCTTTCTATAAACTTTCTCACTTATTGTATTCCATGCTCATCCTCAGTATTGAAATAAGTCGTCAGCGAATTTAATCTCTACAGAATGACTCATAATTCAAAGAATAAACAAATTTTCTTAAGAGAAGAAACTTATTTCTTTATTGAACATTTTTGGAATCACAAAAACACTTCAGTGGTGTCTATATTTTATCATTTAGCAGCTAAAACTTTCCAACTGATAATGTTGTCATCTAATTGTGAGCATTTTCGCTGATACAAACATAAAGTCATGCAGTGAATCATAACAGACCAATCAATTGTCATCAATCGCACAATGAGTTAGTTGCTTCTGAGTTTGCTTCCTCACCTTTTCGACAATATAAATTGAACGAACAAACAATACTGTTGGTTAAATTCAAAACAACTACCATTTACCTGTTAATGGTCAGGTGAGCAGTCATGAACAAATGCTGTATTTATAGCATATGCATATTTATGTGCACTCATGGTTTAGAAGAAGAATTTATTTGATATTGGCTGTATCAGTGATAATCGATCGATTTCGTTTGCTTGAGGCTGTTGATTCAGTTAACGGCATTCTTCATTTAATCGTTTCGCTCCTTCACTTATCTCCCTGAAACTTATTGTTGAAACCCACAATGGCAATGACAATCTGCATTGTTGTCTTGCTTCAACGCTCTTGTTATGACTTCTACAATCGTTACTATTATTGTTGTTATTATTATTGTTATTGTTATTATTATTATTATCATTATTATTATTACTGTTACTACAACTATTATTGTTACTACTATCGTTATCATGATTGCTGTCATCTGTTTCATATTTCCTTAAAATTTTCGATTCTTCAATATTGCTGCTGATTCGAAGCATACGCAGATGACGTGCATTGCATTTGTTTCATTTATGATAGTATTCGTTATTATTCTTGTTGTCATACGTGTAATATACATATTTATTTATGTGTCTGTGGATCATTTCTGGTTTGATATTGATTTCTTTGAGCAATAATCGCTAACAGCTTGTGTTGGTGATATTTATTTGATGATTTCAACTGAGATGATTACATTCAAGCGTATCACTTATTGCAAACAAACAATCGATCAGTCTGACAATAACAATTCAGTTAGGCATTGTTACTGCTGTAATTAGCATAATATATCTTGATTATGATCCATTTGCAATGCCGCACGGAGTCAAAAGCTAAAATCATTTATATTTTGTTTGTGTTTACGTTAGCTATATCTGTTACGTGTCTCTGAGAAACGATTAGCAGTTCATTGATAACCAACTTGATTCTTCATAAATTGTGCGATATCATATCAAATTAGTATCCTTATTCATAATTCAACAATTCAAAATTCCTTTATCACATAGTCTCAGTGATCGTTCGCCGACCGATTGTTCTGAGGAAAACGCTTTTCATTAGATCATATTTGGACAATTATTGAATGGAAATGAACCTTAAAAACTGTTGATGCGAATTGATGATTTTATAAAGTGGCTCTTGGCTATTTCTTTGTTTGTGCTGTACGCATATCAATGGTGAATGCATAATCGATCCATTTCCAAGGCCAATAGTATGTGCATTTAGCTAACTTTCTAAACATATGAATATCTCAGACATATACGCATATACACTTTTTTCTTCTTTTGCTTAAATAAAATTTCTTCTGCTTAAACAGATCACCAAAATTTATTGGTAAATCTATATCTCCTTGATATATCTCCACGAAAATAGTTTCATTCCTCCACGTATACTCAATTCGTGCGTAAACCGAACATTTTCTGTCATCAGAGTGTTATTTCTCTAAATTGATATGAGCAGATGTAGTTGCGTATATGTGATGTCATTGCTATATGTATTTCTTATCAACAGAAAGTTTTTAGTCAAACACTGAAAATGGCATCAACTAGTGCAAATGATTCATTGCGGCGTTCAAAACGGAACAAGTTCCATCTGGATGTGGCTGCTATAATGTCGCAACATTCAGATCGTCATTTTGTACGTTTCATTTGTGATCACTTCTGATGGCTTGATTATTTTCTTTTCGTTTTCTAGCAAATTAACTGTCTAAATTATCCGAATTTGGAAAGCAATAATCAAAGTCGACAAAATCGGTGTATAGTTTTGGAATGTTAAAGAGTTGTTGTGTATTTATTATGGTATTGCATTAGAATGAAATAAGTATTGCGTATTGACTTAGGATAGCATTTGGCTGGATAATTGCAGCCAAACTTTATCGAATTGTGTTCGTTTTTGGTGTCAAGTGTAAAGATTGCAAATAAAGATTACGTTTTTGATGTTAAGAGAAGCGTTTCACCGCCATCAGCAGCATCAAGAAAGCGTAACAATGTTGAATCGCAAAAAGTGAATGCAACAGGAAAATCAACAGCGATAAAGACGTTCAGTGCAGCGATGGGAGGTAAACGTGAACGAAAAACACCAGCACGACATATTGACTTCATTCCGGATGATCATCTAGAACCTGAGTCCGATGACGAAACCTTATCATCAGACAAGCTGGTTCGTCTTTTAAATCATCAAATATGATATCTTACGCTACAGTGATCACTTTCAGAGAGATGTAAAGCGTGACTACTATTGCTCACATTGTCCTGCTCATTATCAGACACGTACCGGTCTAGCCAACCATTCCAAGCAGCACGGTTCAATGAAAAAGTATCATTGCGAAGCATGTGATATGAGGTTATATCTTCACATTACAGCAAAATCACATTTATGTCGATATTCAATATTTATGAATTGATTGAACTGTTCTCATTTAAAGTTATTGGTTTTGGATTCAGAAGTAATGAATGTAAAAAACTGTTAAGAAGTGAATAATGAAAACAATTAAGTTTTCAGTTGTGATAGCTTGAAAACCTTACGAGTGCACACTCAGGTTCATCTTGTTCGTGAACAGTGTCAGTCTTCAGCGAATTCATCGTCTGTGAAAAATGAGACTGACGACGTTGATGAACAGCTGTCTAACTGTATTCATAATGAGGTGTCTCTTATCTCTTCCTCTCTGAATTACCATGTCGACGGGCACAATTGTTCTCTTTTCATTTCAGACGTATTTCCATATAAATTATCCGCAAAATTTTCTAGTGGAGAAAATTTTCACTGATGTTTTATGACGCAATTAGAATCCGTCAGAAATTTAAAACCGGTTGTTTCAGGTGGAGGATATCCATGAAACATCGTATGTAAACGCAGATTCTGAAACAGTTCATGGAGAGAATGCTGATAATAACAACAGTAATATCAACAATTATGACAATAATAGTAATAATGATAATAAAAGTGGTAATATTGCTAATGATAACGGTAACGAAGAAAATGACGACGGTAAACAAGGCTCTGTCGATGTTGTATCAAATCACAATATAACGTCAAGTAATAAGAGCCGAACTGGTATGTTAATTTAGTTTTAGTTGTTATAATGTGGTGTTGAAATATTCGAAATTTGAGTGAAGGAATTTGACATTGTAACCATTCATAATACGAAATTGCTTTCTCAATGCAGAATAAACCCTCGCAACGGTTTGTTTAAACTCAATTGAGAGAAGCTGATTGTTTTTGTTGTTTGTATGAGTTCGTATAATACTTTTTATAGGTACATCATCAAAAACACAGTTTGTATGCAAGGAATGCCCATTCAGAACTCGTGATACCGGTAGATTGAATGCACACACTGAGGGTCATAAACGCGATCGAGGATTTCAATGTCCGATGTGCACCTACCGGTCAGTATACTTTATCGGAATCGTCATGCTCACTCCAGCAATCTCATCTTTCTTTGATGAAATTTGGGAGGAAAATTTCATTCATTTAGATAGAACCGTTCGATTGTTTTGAAAATATCTTGAGAATTTTGATAAGTTTGAAATGTTGCATGATTTGACGCATTTCATAATTATATGTAAATTTAACGGAGAAATGGATTGATATTGCGCATTCAAGATGTGACCGTTTTAAATATGATTCTTGATACAGAAGTGAGTCGGCTGGTTTCTTGAGACGTCACTGTGATTGTCATGGAGTACGAGGATATCGTTGGCCTCCAATGTATGTAGGTCGAGGCAACACTAACAGCAGCAAGAAAAATACGATCCTTTTTGCTAGCTCAACCGAGGATCTAGTTAATGGTTGCTATATGGTTGTATTTCGATCGCAATTTTACTTTCTGCAAACGAACAGTAGCTAAATTTCGTGTAAGAGCATATTTTGTCGTAAAATATCATAGTCACATTAAAGATCATTGCGAACGGTCATTGTCCGCGTAATTCTTCAGCTGAAGAGGTATTACATAACAAAGTTTGAAGATGAGATTAGGTTAAACGTGAAAATTCTCAGTCAATTCTGCATTGTTGTGAACAATAGTGGATAGATAAATATGCTTTCAGAAAGAAGGAGTGAATCATCAGCATCATTATCAGAAATGAAACGAAATAAGGAGACGAGGAAAGAGTCAAGTGTTAAGTTGAGTGTGAGACGAACAAGTACAACACCACCACGGCTATCGGATGCTGTTTGGTCATGTGACGCTGAACACTCAGCTGTTGCTAGTGCTGCTAAAGATAGCTCTATTGATGAGGGTCCTTCTTCAACGAAAGCCTCACCATCCTCTTTCTTACAAAACACCAATTATTACGGTGCGCGTTCATCGTTTCATTATCCCAACAAATCATCCATCCGTTATCAACAAAACTCTGTCAAGGTAAGCATATTTTTCATTGAACAATTGATAAACGAGTAAAATATGCGTACACGCTATTTAAATAACTTTATTGAAGCAGAATTCAAAATAGAAAATAGATTCTTAATTCGTGAACAATAGCCAATCATTCATATTCCTTCGTATTCTTATCATCAGTTGCATTCGAAATCTCTTAAATTAGCATTGTTACAGTGTTAACATTACATACGTATGATTCGGATCAGAACCATTCAAAATATGCGGAAAAATATTAGTTCTAGGTTGTGACCCTGCGTGACATAACCTCTCAGCGACAGAACAAATAACAAAAAACTTATTTAGTGTATTCCTGATGCAATAGTTTCAACTGCAGATAAAAGACTTATTTAAGGCATGTGCAAAGAACGATCCTCGAAAATACAAATGTTTCTGTTGTTCGGCTCGATTTCTGTCATACTATGAACGCTCAGCACATCGTTTCTCGTGTCGTAAAGCTCCAAGAATCTCGAAACGTATCTATTCGTCTCTTCTAAAGGAACGCACCAATACGTTCATTAAACGTGACCGAAGGCAAATGTAAGGTTTTCCATTCATCTAAAAAATTTGAACCGCGGATGTGGGAGCAACTATTGGGTTGGTGTTCGTGCGCTTTTATTCAAATTCAATTTTTTCGACGAAAGTCCACATTTGCGAGGGTTTCCGTTGTCTTCCTAGGGTGGACGTCTGGTTTCGCGGATTCTGATGATTTGTTGATTTAACGGATGAGAACATTTTGATGATTTCGTTTCACACAGTTCTCTAGTGGTTTGGCCCGTTGAGGCGTGACTGAATGTAAATAGTAGCACATGTCGGAAATGCGTTTTTTCGTCCACCTGACACTTCATTTCGTCACGTTGAAAATTCGAAGGGAACAAAACAGCAGTAGACCGTTCAATATAGTTGCAAAGAGTAGAAAACGCGCTATCGATTGGTATATGACACTCCTCCGGAAACATGGACTTTTGCCGGAATAATTGAATTTAAATGAAAGCGCACGAACTTATGCACCAAGCCAATATAAATGTTGTCGTAATGAGGTTGAATTGAGCGTGATCTCGGCGTTTAAATATGTCATGATTTATTGGCATTATTGTTGAGGAATGAGATACCGTCAAACAGCTCTGAAGCATCGTTGAAGGAGCAACGTATCCACAATTGTGCATATTGTCCGTTCACATGCACTCAGAAATCACGCTTGAAACGTCACGAGAATAAGCATTTTGTCAAAGCTGAAAATCAGGTGAGACATCAAGTGATTATTATTCATTTAGAATGCGTTCGTTCGCATTAACAATGTTTCATCATTGTTATTATTTTTGATGAAGCTTAAACACTCTGTTTATGTACTTCACATAAATATGCGTAAACTAATCACAGTTCTTGTAATTCAACAGTGCGCCGATTGTACGTTTTCGTGTCGTTCTGTTGAAATTCTCACACAACATTCTCGTTTGCATCAAACAAATAAAAACGTTCAAATGCCTGGTCGTCGAAAAGACTTTGCCCTCACCGATGAGGCTCTTTCCAATGGATCAGTATCGTTTCCTATCGGGGTATGTTCACCTAACAATAATATTACTGCATCAATTATGATTGAGATCATTCCAATGAGCTGAACAATTCACAATATTATGCCGTTTTTCCATCACTATTCTCCGAGAGAAGAATGCTGATAGTGATCGGGTGCCATATTTTCGAAATGCGTCGTTTAAATGCATCGTTTTACTATGAAGAATTCATTTAATCAAGTTGGAAATGTGTGACAATGGTAGAAAGATTAGGATGTAAACTGCGATCATGATATTTTGCAAGGTATTATTGAAACAGAATAATGCTTGATAGAGAAAAAGTGCGAATGATTAGTGTATTTGATTGTAGAAAGTGGGTAAATGCAGTGAGTGTCCGTATCGATCTCGACATCTTTGTGATATGAAAGCTCACGCAGCGATGCACGTCGGCATACGTGAGTTTGCATGCAATCGATGTACTTATAGCACCAAACGTGCGCACGTTCTTGAAGCTCATCTACAGATGCACGCCGAAGAAGATGGACTTCCTCCGTCATCACAAAAGGTTGTTGGTTCCGTCGACTTTCGCAAATATGCATACTCTTCTATGCTAATTCTGATCATTAATGTTATTTTCTGCAGTTCATCAATGATAAGAATTTAATCGATAGTTTTAGATCAACCTCAATTTTCTTGTCAAAAAGTATATTCCAATTCGTTGGCATGGCATTATAATTGGTATGAAGAGTGGTGCAAAATTAACACGTTTGTATTCATGCAATTTTTGTCCATATCGTACTCGCTTCTGTGCTCCACTTTTCGCCCATTTTAGGTTTATAACTGCCTGCATTCATTTTATTTTTTGTATGATTTTGTAAGCATTTTTACGACACTGCATACAATTGTGGTGTTGGTGCTTAAATTATTATCAGAAAGTCATTCTGCAAATGTATATCGCTAGTTCATATACTTAAGACCCGAAAGTGAGCAGGCTACATGTATAGCCTCCTTTAGCCGTAGTTTTCTCTCTATTCATACAAACATTCCGTAGTTGAGAACAATTATCACATCAGTTATTGTGTTTATAAGATCGAATTAATTAATAATTCTAGAAATCACATGGGTAGTCGATCATTGCGTTGTTCGCGATGTACTTTCAACACATCGATAAAAAGAAAATTCACTGAGCACTTATCGCTTCATCCTTCGCCAAGAACTACTACCACTCCTTCAAATGCAAATTCGGATACACTATTCATCTGCAGGTTCGAATTGATCTCTGGCTTTCGTGCAGGGTCATTCAATGGTTGAAATTGCAGTTATTCTTGATAATGATTCATTATTTTCTTGTTATTACTTGCATCCTGAAAAGTGTTTCACTCAATATTATTTGAGGGATTCTAGTTCGTTTACCAGCAATAAAACTACGTGTTCATAATGAATCGTTATTCTCATTATGTAGGGAAATCTCTTCCATATTTGATTGAATTTTTTGGCGTCGAAATGGAATTCGGTTAATTTACTCTTCAGATACCTAGATTAAGATAAACGTCATTTTAAGGGAATGCCCGTACACGTGTGACTCGTATGGTAAGTTATGGCATCACGGTCAGAAGCACAAAAAAACTGCTCGCTTCATGTGTGATCTATGCTCATTCAGCACAGGAACGTCGAGTTCTCTTAGTGAACATCGTGCTCTTCATAAACGCAATACTTCTGCTCCGACTCTTGAACCAAATATGGATGATGTTATGTGAGTATAACGATTTGATAATTGTTGTAAGAGAGTATTCTGTATTTGACTCCCGCGATATTATGCGTAACAGCATCAGTTGATTTGACAAAGTGAACTCAACTCTTTCAGTACCATCAACGAAACAAACTCTGCTAAAAGCGGCTCTGAAACAGTCTGTATGGATGTACCTAATGAGCACATTCGTAACGTTCAGCCGTCGGGGAATGATGAAGAAGCATGTACAGCAATTGAATCGAATTCAAATAACAACAACAGTTTGATTTCGTCTTATCCAATGCTCGTCAAGAAACTTGCTGGTGGAATTATGAAGGAGTCTGAAAGTGAAATGTCCTCCATCACACATGATTCGTCGTCTAGATATTTGTTTAGTGAGGAGGATGTGAATGACTCATTTATATCAAACGAAATGAAATTGTTGATGCGCATTCGGAAATCTCACTCCGATTTATTGGGTCAGTCCATTGCTGTGGGTGAATGTTGTTTCTCTTTGCGTAGTCGTATTAGAATTGATCCGATAATATCCCTCCATAATTTCAAAATCATTTCGTTTTTGTTGTTTTGACACCATTTCATTCAAATATTTTGTAAAAATGATGATGATTTGAATATGTAATGATCGAAACGTACCTTTCAACTTAAAGTTAAAGTAGAATTGTTGTTGAATTCGACTCAGTCAATAGTGAAATTACTTGAAAACATTTCTGTTCAAAATTTTATCCTTAGAGAACAATAATTTTTTAGTTTCATCAGGAAAATCCTATCGATGCAATGAATGTCCATTTGTTTGTGAGGATAAGATATTACTTGCATTCCATCTGGATCGACATAAATCAAAAGGTGGCCCGTTGAAGTGTAATTTATGTTCTTATAAGGCATACACTCCAGAAGCACTATGTAATCATATCAATTTACACATCAATACGTATTCACAAAATGCATCGGTTGCTGCGTTTAGGTTCGTTGATCTCTTTTCTTTATGAATCATTCTATCGTAAATGTCCAATTTTTTAATGCTACCAGTTTTTAACTATCACATTCCAAAATTTTTCATACTAGTCAAATTCAACAGATATTTACGTCTGATTCGTCGGGAGAATTACTTAGTCGCTTCGAAATCGCTCGACAAATTCATCGTATTGCATACCGAAAGCTGTGCATAAGCCGCATGCACCTGAGTGTCACTTGAATTCATCTGTATCGTATGTTCTGTTTTCAGAAAACGTAAACTTCGTCACTCTTCACCAGAAGCGATTTCTCATGAAGGAAAGGTGATGAAGTGTTCGAAATGTCCCTTTCAGACAGCTAGCACTGATCGCTATACTGCGCATTGTCTTGAGCATGCGTTGGTGAGTTGTTGAACGTTATTCCATTGTGTGTTCATCATTTAATCGATATTGCTTTAGCGAATACAACGACGATTGGAAACATCGATTAGACGTAACAAGAGCAATAGTGGCGATAACAGGAAACAGAAGATACATCGGATGGCACGCAGAATTGATGGACAGGTCCGTTGATGTTTGCTTTCAGGCAATAAGTATTTGAAAGTTGAAAATGAGTTCTGAAGTCAACAGTGAAACGCACAAAAAATATCACGATTGTGAAAAAATTGTTGAGTGAAGATAAATGATACTATTAAGCGAGTTTTGTTTGTTCCTTCGAAATAATAAACTTCGATGGCAACATCCATAAAATTTTAATATTCATGATCCTCTATGCAAATTTTTTGAATGTATTTTTTCTAAATACAAAGACGATAAATATTTTCAAAATTTCAGCATTTTTGTTGGAAATGTTCATTTCATTGTGACTCTGAATCGGCGTTGGGCACACACATGGAACTGCACGGTCTGCACGCTCCGTTTGTTTGTTCGCTGTGTGACTATGCGTCATTCTCAAACAACGTGATAATATTCCATCAGATGAATCATCATGTTAATGCACCGTTAACGAATCTCTGCAAACCGAATGCTCTTAACGACCAAAAGGTTATTTATACTCATCATTGAATGTCTACTGCGAACTTCAGTGCTATTATGTCTTTGCTTAAAATGAAATTTACTTTTGGCTATCGAAGAATCACACACTGAAAATTATCAGAAACGAGTTGATTAAGTTTTTCTGTTTGTAACTGAATTATAGTTTGAGAAGTAGTTATTAACGATAAAAATATTAACGTTTTAGAATATACTCGAAATGGCGTACACAGAAAAGACACAACTAATGTTGCGATGTAATCGTTGTGGCTTAATTGTGAACAATTTCAACGAATTTATGACACATTGCAATTGTGTTCATCAAGATTTATCAGCAACCATGAAAGGTTCACCAACTACACAGACAATCATCGAGAACGCGAGTCGAATAAAAAGTCTGAACGAAGATATTCAACTCAACAACGATTTTTCGTCGTCCTTATCATCCCAAAACAAATCTTATTGCTCTTCCTAATTATCATTTCAACTCTTGTTAAGGAAAATTAACCACTAATTTATTTCATCTTGTAAAATTGTTTAATTTCTTATTATACAAGAATATAATATAGGTATTTCTGCTGTTGTTTCATGGTTTATCATTAGATAAATGCATAGATAGATATGGATGATTTCTTGTTTGATTCATTTACTGAATGAGTATACTAATTACGAGTTTCTACTTCCGTTTTTTGCTTTTTTCTTTAAATTGATTCTTCATCGATTTGTACTGTTATTAGTGTTCAATGGTGATAATATTAGGTTCCCCAGAAATCCATTGCTTTGTTAGCGTTTGAGTTGTGCTCGTGTTATTTTAATATATTCTTATTGCATTTGCAGTCGTTTTTCGAAGCTTTCTTAATCTTCTTAGCGGTGATTTACAATAGAAATTTAATGATAGATTTGCTATAATATTATTGAATAGAAACGATCTTTATTCGTATACGCGACAATTGTTTTGTCGGATTGCAGAAGCGAGTCTTGTCTTTGCCATGTATGATTAGGATTGCACACTTCTACGATACCATTTGCAGTTACATTTTATCATTAACTTTTTTTTACTCTGAACTCTTCTTCGTTCCGTGTCCCCGTTGTTTCAGAAACTATTATTCATGAATCTTCTTCATAAACAAATACGAACGCCTTTTACGCTTCCTGTTTTTCTTCAAGAAATCTTTCTTGAATCATTTTGTTCGCTTCTTTTCTCAGTTCTTTCAGCTTCTTTTAGAATTATTTCAGTCAGTATTTTCATATAATAAACCATTTGAGGGTTGTTTCCTGGTGGTCTCATTGCGATGATTTTGTTTTATCTACAGAAAGAGCTATTTGAAGATGGATTTCTATATCGTTGAAGTGTTTCATGGAGTAATTATGTTCATCTTTTTATTACTCTTCATGTTGATATTCTTTTATCGTCATACATTGAAATACCCAACCGTTTAGAATTATTTTATGAATCTTCTGAAACATTTTCACGACATCATGCTGTATTGTGAGAGTTTAAATAAATTATAAACTTTATTCGTTCGTGTTTTATTACGATTCAGAATTCGTTGAAATCGGCAGTACTTGAATCATCTGGGAGTAGTTTTTGAGTAAACGCCATATTGATATGAATTAGAATTTATTTCTGTTGAATGTAAAATTCTTTGACGACAAATCACAGTGACCTCTCAAATGTTTTACAGCAGTGGTTCTCATAGGAGGTGAAATTACCCATTTTGGGTACTTTGGGAGTAACGGAAGGGGTCGGGAAATTAGTATTTCATGTAGTTGTTATGTTGTGATAGAACGCGATTGTGTTGGTGTTTTTTCACCTGGGTATATAAATGCGATTAGTTCATGGCAGCGCTGTTCTTTCTCCTATTTTCTGAGTGTCATTAGATCCTCCGGACCTAAATAAAATCCTGTTTAGACACAAATGTTTCACAAGTTTTTCAATACATTGGCTGACATCGTCTCTTATCAACATTGGGGAATGATTAAGAGAAATTAATATTTGGTGGTTTTGTTATGATGAAACGCCATTGTGATGGAGTGTTTTTCACTCGGATATCTAAACGCGGCTCGCTCATGGAAACGCTCGTCTTTATCCTATTTTCTGAGTATCTTTAGTTTGTTTAGGCCTGAACAAAAGTCAGTTCGAAGAAGCCACAAATATCTCGTAAATGCTTAAATATGTTAGCTGCCATGGTCGCTCGTGAACAGTCAGAATTGACTGCGTTCTTTGGTACGACACAAAAGGTCATTGGTTTGGTGTGGGACGATCGAGTATTTCTGAATTTGATGATATCGATTTCATTTTTCGATTTTTACAGTTTCTGATTCCTCAACCGCTTATGAATGTTTTTTCAACCGGTATAATACCTCTTCTGTGATGGACGACAACATATCTTATGATTTTATGACTGAAATGCTTGAAAAGTAGAATGGGAATTTCAGGCTCAATGCACCAATCGCATCTCAAAACTCTCGATAGGTCAAATTTATGTTCGTCCCTCCGATGAATTTCTACATATACATTAACCATCACTTTGATGGAATGATTGATTTTCCGTTCATCTCGAAAATAATTTCTCAAGTGTTTATTGCATCTTCCTTCTTCATGAATAGTTGAACTTGTTGTTAAATTTCATTTTTTATCGCGAAAGAATGTTTTTTTCATTGCTTTCCGTTTTTGATTGTCGAGGTTCTTATGGTTTCTGCAGTGAAAAAAAAAGGTTCTAAAAATACTTGTTTTGTTCCAGAAAATTAATTTCTTTCACCATATCAACGAATTTCCGGACCGGTCTTCCTCTTGTTCCCAACGTTATATGTCGGGAACAAGAGGAAAACCGGTCCGTTATACGTAGAAATTGTGAGTTTTGTATCAGGAGGGGGGAGAGGCGGTAACAGCGGCGCATTAAATCATCAAAATGGGTAATGGAGCACCCGAGTGTGAGAACCACTGTTTTAGAGGATGTGCAAAACACATCGTTGTGGAAATTATTGAAATTCGAAAAAATTCTGGAAGTCGGGGAAAAAAGCGCCGCAAAATTACTTGTATTCAACTGAGCCAGTCAACTTCCTAAATTGCATACGTAGGCTAAGTTAAATGGTTCCAAGAAGCATGTCATATGGCCGTGCCCGTGTGATCGTTTTTGAAACATTCTCTGATCATTTCGTATGCCGCGAACTTAGAAAATTCATTAAAATAATCTTGCGTATTGCATGGTTCATTTACTGGGCAGTTTGCTTGATGACCGTTTTAGATGATCGCAAATGGTACGGAATGAATAGTTGTTACTTGGTGGGAGATCTGAGAAAGTTCAGCAGCTGTGTAGTGCATAATAATAATAAATTTTGATTGCGCATAGACATGGAGTTCGTGTGAATGTGGTGCTCTAGCGTTATTATGTACGCATCACGCATTTAGACAGCAGCCATGCAACATTATCTAATAACGTTTGCATGCGCTCTATTTGTGCTTGAATGCCATATTGAATGTTGATTGTCGATTGAGGAATGCGATCATTAGAAGAGGAATTACGAGTAGCCAGACGTGATAATGCGCTACTGTTGGCTTTGTATCGTGAAGAAATGATGAGACGTGCGTTTGCTGAGGAACGGCTTCGTGAAATGGAAGAACAGGCGCAACTGTAATCATTTTTTTTCTGCTGTTCTGTTTTTTTTTTTTGTTTTGTTTAATCCATGATGCCAGTGAAGTTTGATGAACGTTTAGCAGCAGCAATCGAACANAACAGATTCAGCTTCAGTCGATAAATTATCAGTTGATCAGGATACAACAAATGTTCAGTCAAAATCAAAAAAATCCAAGCAACGATGCACTGCAAATCGTGATCTGAACAAGCGATCGTCCGATATCAATAACAACAACGCCACGACATCTGATACAAACGTTCGTCGCTGCATTCTGAATATTTCATGAAGATTGCCAACGCAACATCATCAATGTTGATGTTATATAATAGTTCACAATTTATTTTATCGCACAATATGGGTGACAACAAGCTTCAGTATTCAATTTTAAAAGTTTTCGAAATTTGTAATCTCGGAAAGTAATTTGCAAATGAAAGAAAATTTCTCAGTAATTAATGTTGTTCAGACGAACGCTAATGAAGAAACCACATTGAAAGCGGCTTATGATAAAGCAGCGCCAAGATTAGCAACTAACAATAGTGTCACATACTTCGTTCACGAAGACGGCACTCCTGAAGCGAGTATGCGTTCGCATCCGATACTAGCCGTATGCTTTATTAATTTGTTAAATCTTTATCTTTCATCGGAATAAATCTTGAGATGCGATAAATATTGGCAGATTTGTTAGGATGTGCACAGTTGTGGTTTTTGGATGTTGTATTTTGTTGAGTGAATGTATTCAGTTAATTCAATGAGTTATTGTTTTTAATCGCTTTTATTGTTAGTAAATAATGATTGATAATATACGGTCTGATGTACGGCATTCATTTTGAGGATGCCTTATGGAACCGTAATAAGTGGTTCATTCGACGTGCACACGATCGTCAAATGCGTATCATGGAAGCATCGAAGCGACGTACATTATTATCAGCTGAAAAACGTGATCTAGCGAACGACTTACTTAGTAAGAGAGTCAGTGTACAAAATGCGTTACCGAAATTGAGTACTGATCTGGGTGATGTTCATGCATTCTCATTGAATGCTATGAAACAAGCCACGTTCAGGTTTGTCTTTGAGTAGTATTTTGGAAAAAATTTTATTCTTTGAAAAATTTTATTCTTCTTTGAGAAATTTTATTCCTTGAGTATGTATGAGAACTTCTGTGCATACCGCAGCATTTTTTAGTTGTTACTTCTATCATCTTTCGAAAAAAGCTCTTTTGTATTCCCAATTGCCCGTGAATTTCTCAGAAGTCTGCTATTTTAAAAGTTATTTTTTTAAATACTGTATGATGAGAGTTATAAATTATCAAGAAGAAATGTTTTTAGGCGATTACAGAAGACGAATGAATTTAAATTGAAGAAGTCAAAAGATATCGATGAGAGGAATCGGCAAGCTGATCGTTTATTGACGTTTTGTTATAGCCAGGTCAGGAAATAATCACTCTATAATGGGGTTGTTTTTGAGAGTAAACATCGATTCTCACTTTCAACATGCACAATTTTCAGACAGTTCGAACAAAGCAAGCACGTGGTTGCAGTAATGCTGCATAAATTTATTGTAGCACCACAAATTACTTACGCTGTTGCTGTAATGTTTGTTCGTTCTTGTAATTTGTTTTTCGTGTTCTTTCGTTTCATTTTTACGGAGCTTAATTTTTTATTTATCATCATTCCACTCGTTCTTGGTTGCTGGTGTATCGCTTTGTTGCAACGCATCTGAGTCGGAGAGCCAATCAAAATTTTTTTTCAACTAATTAAACCAATCAAAGTTTTGCTTCACTGAGATTTAGCGATCACTCTTAGTGGTAGGTAAAGTTGAGCATGCGGGAAAATCGATCTTCTTCGTTGACACGAGCCGTAGTTGAGTAGGCCAGAATTGATGAGCACGAATGCAAACAGAAGCAGCGGTGACGAGTTGAGGTGTAGTAGAGCAGTACGCCCAGATTGTATGGACAAAACTGTGAGCATGAATAGAGCTGCAGCGGCGATTATTGCAGCAAGACTGGAGATTTATGACTGAATTCGTTCAAAAGTATATCATATCACTCAAAAATAACTTCAGCCTGTTGGTTCCACTCGTACTATCAATAAACAGAGAACATCCACTAGTTTCACGTTTACGTTGATGCTTTCCTATTAGCCCACTATTGATTCTCTGTTTCTATTCAATTTAATAAACACCTTTCATTTACTGATGAATATTTGTGTGAATAAATTTGTTTATTAATTTACCATCATACTGGTTTATCTACTTGCATACACGATTAATTACTGTGCAAAGTCAAAAAGTTTCTACGATCAAGTCAAGCCTCAGATTCAAAGCTAATCGTTCAAAAGAACTCATAATGGTTCCTTTTTGATTTTTTAACTCTCTGAATGCAATACTGAAAAGCCGAATTAAAATAAAGTGTGAACGAATAAGAGTAAGAGTGTTATTGGCTGGTGAAAAGAAAGAAGCACGCGATATGGAATTGGAATTGACGGAAATAATTTTCTTTCTAACATACCTGAACCAGATCAGGTGGGTTCATCATGTACTTTATATA